AGTGCGCTACTTCCGACCAACTGGTTTTATTTTATTTTATGACCGCCGCTGAACAGCCTACCCAATTTTTGGGTTTACGACTAGTAATGTTCAACGCCGTAGCCTTGTAATTTTGAACCCAAACCAGAAGACAAGGGAACTCCTGGATCAGTACCCCCAGAGGTTTTGATTTGTTATGAGAACATGGAGGACTTTGAGATTCGACAGATTTAACGTGCATCAGTCACCATTTACTACACAGGGAGTCTTCTACCGGCGGGGACCGGAGCCACGAGCTCTTGGACATAGGCCCGGCACCCCACCGACCAGGCTATCCCGACCTAGTAGCTACAATTTATCAGAATTATTGTTGCACCACACCTGTGGCGACCAACTGGTTTAGAGCTACCATGATTATGCAATTTTTTCCAGTACTCACTCTTTTCAGAGGGCCATAACAACCTATTTTCATATTACCTATAGTAGGCAATTTGATAACTACAACAGTACATCTGGCAAAACAGTATTAATTACCGTTATACTAATAGTAATTATTACCAAGATTAATTAACTAATCATCATTGGCTTGAATTTTTAGATTTCTTCAAAACGATTTAGTACCTTTTCTCCTATATTTTTTTTCTTCATAGTACCCAACTTAGTTTCTTTCTACTTCAATTATCGATTATTAATTGATTGAAAATTATTTAGTTTTATAGAAATACATTTTAAAAGCATAAGTACAAACAAAAAAACATGTTGGTTCCAGTAAACACACTTTGAATAACGTAGCCCTCACACGCCATCAGCATTCATCATAAATCGTAACTGGTACAACGAATAAAGATTGATTAAATATTAAGGAAAGCGAAAAAAAACTTTTTTTGATTAAATAGAGCTGTAAGCTATCATACATCACTGATACTATCTTATAAATGTTTAGAAAAACAGAATCTTCTTCAGTTTTTTAGGCACTTTTCCGTTAGCCGGGCGCATTCGAAAAATAGCCAAATAATGAAGAATCCGCCAAATTTCTTACAACCATAAGGGGAATGTTAGATTGCTCTATTCTTTGCATTCATTCAAAACAAAGCACATTTTCTTTTCTTTCTTACATCGCAAATTTTTTATTGTTAAACTAACAACTAAACTATTAAACTGTTTAGCCATTAAATTCTAGTTCTAGTTCATTTACGTCGGACTAGAACTGCGCAATGGGCTATTGGTGACTGTCTTGGAAACATCCATGAGGATGATCCGAAGACATGCCATCACAATTTTGATCCTCTGCAGAGGGGATGGCACTTCCACTTCGGTAGCTCGAGGACCTGCACGCGAAGTCGACCACTTTACGACAGAACAGTTTAACGAGGACCCATACCGTACACCAGTGGTTCCCAACCTGGGGGCGATCGCTCCAAAGGGGGCGATAGAGCTTCTCAAGGGGGCGATAATCCTTAGGGGGGCGATCAGGGGGCGACAAGTACTCAAAAGATAAAAATTGCTAATAATATTAATAATAAAAGCTATTTGAGATTGAGATTGAAAATATATATGAAACCTATGGTTCTGGTGTAGACAAGTAATTATGATAGTTAAAAATTAAAAAAAATTCTAGTGCAGGATCGTTTTCGTCATACGTTTTGGTATCGCTGGCGGAAATCTGATAAGTCACTCTGTTCCTCTGAGCAATAATACTGTTTCCAGGCGTATTGATGAGATGGCCGCCGACGTTGAATCAAAACTCATCAAATTTCTGAAAGAAGGTAAATTTGCGTTGCAGATTGATGAATCAACTGTGATAGATAACAAAGCTGTTTTAGCTTACGTGAGATTCATAAATGAGAGTAAGGAGATTAACGAGGAAATGTTGTTTACAAGAACTTTGAACACAGATACAAAAGGATCGTCGATTTTTAAATTGGTCAAAGATTATTTTGAGGTAAAAGAAATTCCCCTCACAAATGTAAGTGCTTGTGCAACAGATGGTGCTCCAACCATGTCTGGTTGTCATACTGGGTTTCTGGGTCACCTTAAAAAAGAAGTACCGGAAGTTATCTCACCATTCATTATGTCATTCATCGTCAACTTTTGACTGCGAAAAATTGGTTATTTCTGGCATCAATAAAATAAAAGCTAATGCTCCTAATAACCGTTTGTTCTGAGAACTTGCCATGAAAATGATGAAGATTTCGAATTTCTGCACCTACATACAGCTGTGAGACGGCTTTCAAAAGGAAACTGAGCCGTTTCTTCGAATTGCAGGATTTGGTTACTGAGTTTCTCGACACCACTGATCCTGTTTTAAGTGAGAGTTTGGAAGCAACACAAGTTGGAAACTGCGTACCTCACTCATAGTCTTGAAAAAATGAAGGAAATCAACGTAAAACTTCAAGGAAATAAAATGAACATTATCAAGGCTAAGGGAATCATATCTTCATTCACCGCCAAGTTTGATATCTATAAGTCAAACATTGGTCGCAAAGAGCTAATGCAACTTCCAACTCTTAAAAAGTGTTCAATGGCAGATTCTCGAAAATAAGAGATTCTCGAAAATAAAATCTTAATTTTTATTGATCACCTTGATCAGTTATGGAATCAAGATTTAAAGATTTGATGAAATTAGAAATTCCGGATTGGATTTTCGATCCTTTCTCTTTTGAAGTTGTGGATAAGCTCACTTCCTCTTTGTAGACTGAGATTTTAGATTTGAAGTATGACTCTGAGGCTAAAGTCGTCTTTAAAAAAGACGGTTACGAGTTAGCTTGGGTAAAGCTTATGGACACTTATCCACAATTGTGGAAACAAACTGAGCCTCTTCTCATCTCGTTCCCGTCAGCATATTTAGTGGAGAGAGGATTTAGTTCTGTCTTCCAGCTGCTCACAAAGCAAAGAGATATGTTGGACATTTACTTCAAAGGAGACCCGCGTTTAAATCTGACGAGCATAAAACCTGACATTCAAGCTTTAACTTGAAATACACCAAGCACAGGGCAGTCATTGAAGTGGTAAAAATGTACTTTCTCAATCTTCATTTTTTTCTCAAATTTAGTTGGATTACAAAACAAAATTTGTAGAACATTACAAAATTTAGTTTAACGTTTTCTTGATTTAAAAAAATGTACTTTTGTTTTGATTATTCCGTTTTAAATATCATTTATTTTTGGTTAAAAAAAAGATTCACAATTTTTTTTTAATTAATAAAAATGACAGGATAAATGTGCCTCCTTATTTGCATTACAATTTAAATTAAAATCAAATAACATTGCATATTTTCAGTGTTTGGTTGCTCACAAGCAACACTGAATGGTTTTTTGAACAAAAAGAGAAAGGGGCGATATGTGTCAGCCAACCCCAAGAGGGGGGCGATGGTCCACAAGAGGTTGGGAGCCACTGCCGTACACCCTCAGTCCTGAGCGGACAGATCCAAGTGGTCACCCACCAGCACACTGACGGCAGACAGTGATGCTTGACTTCGGTGATCTGCTTGGAACCGTGTCTTAACAATCAGTCCACTGCAGGACGTTAAACTATTAAAACTGTTTTGTTTACAATTGATTAATATATGTTTATGGTTCAACTTGTTTTGCTTACTATTAAGAACTATTTGTTTACAGTTGAACGTTTTCGACATTTGTTCCGTCGACTGTCTTGTTATTCGCCTAGATTGGCGACTTGTCTCGCGCTTGGTTCACTATTGGCGGCATTTGCTCCCTGCTAACGGAAAAGTAACGTTTTTTATCGTCTACATAAGAAATAGATAACATAAATAGATATAATCTTAAAAGTAATAACTAGAGCCCGGATTTTGATGACCTAAAAAATCTCAACTAATGTCCTTAAAAATGCTCTAAAAATGCGAAAATTGAGCTAAAAATGCCTTATGACATGACTTAAATAAAGTAAAAATATCGAACTAAAACAATGTTTTACTCTTTAGAATTATGAGTCATTTCAAAAAATATAAATCAATGCAATACTTATTCTACGTTTATTAAAGTTTGAAAAATATGTTTTATATCCTAAAATAACAAAAAAAAAGGAACATATATTGACACCAAAACATTTCCATTTTGTATGGAAACTTTAATGAATATAACAACTTACATCTAATAATATTACTAAATATCAGAATTACATTGGATTAATAAATGTTTTTTGACATTTTGAAATGTAAACGAGCTGAAAGTAAATTTTTATACCTGGAGAAGCTTCTTTCAACATCTACAGATGTTAATGGTGCGTACTTGAAAACGACGGTCTCACTTACTGACAATCCTTCTTCAATTTGAAAAGTTGTTGCTTCACCTGTTAGTATCCTAGAGATTTTCTTCATTGTTTGGAAGCCAGTGTTATTCTCCAAAACTTTGTTCATTTTAGCTGCTACACTTTGTCCTATTTCTTCCCTTGGTAATTTATTGCATCGCCAAGTTCCAAAACTTGTTTCTCCAAACTTGTAATTGTCGAGACACAATAGCAAAGTTATACTTGATAAATGCTAAGTTTCCTTCGATTTTATCAGAAGCGAGCACTTTTAGTGCTATCTTAATTGATGCAGCATCTTCTGAATCAAAACTACTGACAGATAGACTTCACTATCTTAAAATTTGTACTGTAGTATAAGCATGCATCTAACCAGGTACCCCATCGTGTGATTACTGGTTTAGGGGGCAAAGCTGACTAGGAGCAAATGTTTTGAAACATTCCTTGAGAGTTACAATATGAAATGTAAAAATTATAAGACAAATCTTGCATTTCATGTAATAAAAATAACCCCAAAAATAATAAAAATTGGAAAAAATTAACAAAAGCCTTAAAAAAGGCTTTTAAATGCAAAATACGCCCCAAAATTTAAAAAAATGCCCTATAAATCTAAAAAAATGCTCCAAAGGACAAAAAATGTCCAAAAATGCAAATGTCATCAAAATCCGGGCCTTAGTAATAACTTATAAGTTTGAGATTTTATGTCATTCACTCCAATTGAAGATTGAATAATATACTTGATTGTATTTTTTTTCCAGATGGCATTTCGCACACAGTGGAAATACTGGACACAGCCGGTAGTCACCATTTTCCAGCAATGAGAGAACTGAGCATAAGATCGGGAAGAGGTTTCCTCCTCGTCTACTCAGTGGACAGCTATCAATCCTTCAGAGAAGCCACTCAGTTGTGGCAGCTCATTCGAGACATAAGAGGTTATCCTCCTTTTTTCTTTTCCCCCTTTGAACCTCTTCAGAATCCCTAGCCTTATATATACTTGTATCCTCCTTATGTTCTTGGGTATAGTGTGCCAGTATTGTACTTCGGATCACCAATAGCCTGTTAGGATCCGTTCAAATATTCTATAAGCAGCCAAGAGGGCAAGGAATTTTTCCAATTTCATCATATTCGCTGACAAAGGGGGAGACTAAACTCTAAACTCAGCGGTACGACAGCCAATAGAGGGCCAAGGCCTACTGTGCCCATCTCAATTTTCTTGACCTTGGGCTCTGGGGTGCAGGAGCAGATGTTCCGGTCAGGTGGTCAGCCGAACGCGGAACCCCCAGTGTTTAGTTCCCAAGCATGCTTGGTACTCATTTATCGACCCACTGAAGGGATGAAAGGCTGAGACAGCCTTGCCCGGCCCAAGGATCGAACCAAGGACCTGTGGCACGACAGCGCGAAGAGCTACCGTTCAGCCACCGGGCGTCGACAAAGGGGGAGAAGAAGTTTCAAAAATGTTTACTCAAGGGCGCTAAAATCCGCTTATTTTCGTCTGCTTTTAAAATCTAAATGCAATTTGGAAAAATTTCAAATTTGAAACAAAAGTTAAATTTAGGAAACGAAAAGATAAGAAAATAAGTTCCAGTGATTAAGAGTTTTAAACCTCAAAAGGATACCTGAAGAGTATACTACTCAAAATGTTATTAAAAGGGGGAACAACACATTAAAATTTAAAAAAAAAATATTGAAAGGAAAAAAATTTCATTTTTTTGATAATTTTATTTTTTAAGATTATTCGTACATTATAATCATTATACATATTATTGTATCATTGTTATCATTACGTTTCGAATTGATTTTCGCAAAAATGTAAAAACTACAGCATAATGTGTCAAGCGCGGGACGCTATATGACATGCATGTGAACTAATGCGATCAGTTGATTAATGGATTTACTCACTCCCATGATATAAATTTTCGTAAAATATCATTAGTTTAACTATTTTCATTAAAATTATTTTGTTTAAATTATGTAAGATTAAGAATTAACAGTACATCCACTTTAAATACTTAAAAATGCAACTAGTTTAGCTGTAATAATTTTGAATAAAGATTGCAAAGGATTTTTGACAGTTATGGAACAAGTAGAAATAAACGTAAGCCCAAAGAATATGCTCAAAGGGAAGATGACCGTGTAATTTCGGTTGCTATTCTAAAAACACATGAAGCGTCACATGGAAGTAGATGAACAAGGAAAAGATCTAGACTAGTATTTGACATTGAAAATGGCGGAGAAGAAGCATCTTATGGATTTGGTATTGATGTATTATAGTTATTTGCAAAATTTTATAAATTTTATTGATCATAAAACTTTAAACGCAATATATTCGAGATTATGTTTATCTTGCTTACTCTGTTTGCGCAACTAGTACAATTAACTGTTTTACTTCAAATTTTGACACAAAGTTCAAAGTAAATATACTTTTTGTTGTACGTGGGGATCTTTTAATTGGGTTGACTGATTTTGAGTAATTTTGAAAATGTAACTTATATTATGTTATGTTTTTTCCATTTTTTTCCCCCAAAACACCACCATTTCGTGAAGAAATTTTTTTTTAAAAAAAAATCCAGTCTGCAACGAAAACGACTTTCATGTAGTTTTAAAAAAAATTAAAATGGAGTGGAATTTGGATGATTTACTTTTCAACTTATGAATACAACAAGTTATGAATAATTTAAAAAATAAGTTATAAATACTACATTTTATAAATTATAAATATTACATTTTATAAATTATAAGTATTACATTTTATAAATTATAAATATTACATTTTATAAATTATAAATATTACATTTTATAAATTATAAATATAAATTTCCCTTAAATTAAAAAAAAAATGTTTGCCTTAAATTAATTCATACACAAATTTTGCATTATGAGTAGTTACATCTTTTATTTGCATTTAATCTTATAGTTAGATTACTAAAATTAGCAAGATTAAAGTAAGGTTATCAAAGTTAAAGCCAAAACCAAAAAACAACTAAACCAAACTCCTCAGTGGTCAATATAATAGTTTTAAGGGGATTTTATTATCAACTATGTCAACCTTCATCTATCAAAAGGTACCTCTAGATAGAACCTAGTTTACGTGTATTATATACTAGTGAATTGATATTTAATGTTCATAGTGGTAGCTACTCCCCTTTCAGAATTTTATCTGTGATAGAATTCGATGAACGACTAGTTGATTTATGCTGCTTTTTTTAAATTTTTTATTTATATAATTTTTGCTTATTATATTTTTCCTTCATTTTTTGTTTATTTAGATCATTTCGTTCATTATTTTTTTCCTTCATTTTCGTTTATCGGCAGGGTGACTTTTATTTACCTCAGCAGATTTTTGTTTTGTTTTGAGCGCTATTTTGTGAGCAAATTAGCTGTTTAATGTGGTCCATCCATCGATGTTGGAAAGTCTAATATCACGTCCGGAGGTCACCAATAAGGGGATTTTATTATCGACTATGTCAGCCTTCATCTGTCAAAAGGTACTTCTAGATAGAATCAAGTTAATATGTCTTTTATATACTAGTGCAGGGATGGGTAAACTACGGCCCGCGGGCCAACTGTGGCCCGTCGGAAGATTTTATCCGGCCCGCGATTTGCCGATCAGTGGCAAATATAAACAATATACATCCATTTTCTTATCGACTACGCTTAAAATTATTTCTGCTCTTCCTTTTTTAACAAAGTACTGATGACACTTTTACTTTCTCTATATTTGTTCTACAAAACATAAATTGATGGAAATAGTTAGCGCAGACAGCTTCAATTAGTAAAATGTTGAAAGCAGAAGTTCTTTATAGAATAGCCGTAGATTGGCTCCAACTAGCGTTTGCCTTTCTCGAGGAGCTGACTTATGGAATCTAATATAGGTAAATCGTACTTCACATTTGGCAGACTGCGCATTTTACGCTCCAAAGAGCGGACAATCTAACAATCATCTGAAGCAGTTGTTTCTAAATATGCCGAAGTTTTACGAATCATTACCAAAAGCTAGTTTCCAAAATTTAATATTTCATGCCCAGAAGTCAGTGCTATGTTTGCTTAATCTTATCTATGTGAACAAGAGTTTTCAACTATGAACCTTAGAAAAAATCATTTCAGAAGTAGGCTAACAGAAAAGCATTTAGCCTTTAGCATTGAAATAAGCACATCTCGCTTCCAACCTTAATATAAGCAACTTTTAAAAATGAAATCGTAATTTCCATCATCTCACTAAGTATTTAAATTAAAACTTGTATATCGCTTTTTTTTTTTTTAAATTTTGAAGTTTTTTCTTGGCGCACCAAAATTATTTTTTCTTGATTTTTGGCCCTCGACCAAAAAAGTTTGCCCATCCCTGTACTAGTGAATCGATATTTAATATTTATAGTGGTAGTTATACACCACGGTGTCTTTCCTTTTGCAGCGGACGATGACGTACCCGTGCTGCTGGTGGGAAACAAGTCAGATCTAGAGATTCATCGCCAAGTGACCTACGACCAGGCTTTGAAGAGGACAAAAGAATCCATGGACGGTTGTTGTTTTTACGAAGCATCTGCCAAGTTCAACACGAATGTAAAGGAAGTCTTTCTGACCCTCCTGCAGTTGGCTAGGGATCAGGAGGAAGCTCAGGAGGCACTCCTGGAAGAACAGGATTTGTTCAGGAGGAAGAGCCGACGCCTCTCCAAGCGCATCAGTCGAAAAATCAACAACACATTTGCCCTCAAGAAGAACGATTCCACCACCGATCTGTCCGATCCAGTCATCGATCTGAAAAAAGATCTCCAACCCAAGTGCGTCATTGTTTGATACGTTTTTTTGTTATTTTTTTTACTTCCATTCAAACTGTTTGAAGGGCACAGGTCCGTTAAGATCTTGTCAAGTGTTGAGGACGAATTTCAGTGCTTATTGCAGACTATAATTTTTTTTAATTTCCATAAAACACTCATTACTAAAGCGGATGATGTAATATTATCCCTTTTATTTTTGTGAGTTTCGTTACACAAGATAAATCTAATGATTCATCAAGTTCGACAAATTTTCATCATTTTCTACGTAAATAACAAAAGCGAGTAAAACATGAAAAGATACATACTAGATAAGTTTCTAGCATACATACTATAAATGTTCAGTAAGTGTACAACAATGTACAAAAGCGAGTGATACATGGAAGAGGTACTAACTCACCAAGTTTTTGGTTTATTCGACAAATTTTCATTACTTCTGCGCACATAACAAAAGCGAGGGATACATGAAAAGATACATACCAGATAAGTTTCTAGTATATATACTGCAAATGTTCAATAAGTATACCACAAAGTACAAAAGCGAGTGACGCACGGAAAGATGCATATACTTATCAATTTTCTGGTTCATTTTACAAATTTTCAATATGTGTATATAAATTTAAAAAAAAAAACGAATGTTACAAAGAAATATACACTCATAAAATTTTTTATATGTACAATAAATATAACTTGTGTACACCCTTATTCACTCGCCACACATCCTCACGTTCAATGGCATGTTTTTGTAACTTAACATGACCTAACAAATTGAATAATAATTACAGAGTTGAATATAATTATAGAATAATAATTTAATATATATATANTATATATATATAAAGAGAGAAAAAGAGAGGTAGTGGTTAATGCCTTCCATTCGGCACATGAGGAATTTCAATAAAAATTCCCGTGAGGATGATCGGGCAATAAAGCGTCAATAAAAATTTCGACTTAACACATTCTGTACCTAATAAATTACGATTAAAATCCAATTTTTACATTTCAATGATGTAGATAGTGCTATTATGAAAGAAATGACAGAAAATTCGTAAGTACATTAAGTAAACCTTTATCACGCTAGCCAATTATTAAACATTTATAACTTGTTGTTTACGGACTCGAATTGGTGGCCTTAAATTACTTATCTATTGTGGCGGTCACTCTCATTTATTTACGACGTGATAAAATCAAATACCGAAATAACTAAGCTAAATCGTATCTCTTCATAGTCGAAAACGGAAGAAAGTATGTTGTCTTTAAAATTAAATTTCTATCAAAGCTAACAAAACTTTTCAAGTTTTTTTTTTTTAATACGTTCTAGTTTAATAAAAAGAAAGGCATAGAAATTCCAGGAATTTTGATACGACAAAACAACTTCATATATTGAACCAGCCATAGATAAAATAAAACAATTCTTTTCCTCGCTTTTATTGCGGAAAGAAATTCTTACTACCACTTTCTTTTAAATTGATATACAATAAATGGGATCAGATTTACGTCACCGCGCTGATTGATAGGTTTACGCAATAACTTTAAAAATAACTTTGAATGAGCTCTTAGAAGTAACTTTAAAAATATTTTTACCATTTTTTATTTATTTATTTAAAAGAAAATGAGGTAACATTTAACTCGCGGTACGAAATGGTAAGTTTACGCAAACTTAAAAAACATGATGCTTTACGTAATTCTGTTTCTTCCAATGCCGATAATTGGCTATATTCCATTTAAAACAAATATTCATTTGTCTTTGTAAATATTCCTATCAACAGTCAGAATTTTATGAAGCTTGGTTTTCGGGGGTTGTTTTTCAAGCTGAATCGTAAAAAAATGATATGTTTCTTCAGAAATGCTATTATATATACTTTAAGATTTTTATATTATTATTTTACATAGTATTTGCAAATTTACATTCTTATTACATATTTACAAAACGTTGACCTTATTTACAAACTGACAATGAATGGTGTCCTCCACAAGTTTATATGTCCCAATACCAAACATAATGAAAGAACAAATTTTTGAAGCTAGTAGAAACATGCTATGGAATATAAATCTAGAATTGTTTTACCTTTGGAATGTGAGGCGAATGAAGCCACATTAAACATTTATAGTATGTACCAGAAACTTGATTAGTGCATGTATCTTTCTGTGTACAACTCATCTTAGTATTCGTTGACCAGGAGTTGTCACTTGGCTCCACCTCCTCGGACGCAGAATTCATTTCAGCGCTGGAGTAAGAAGAGAAACATCTCCACGCTTGAAATTGAGACAACCCCTAATGCGCTCCAAACACAAAAAGTGAATTCTTTTTTAGTCACTTACTTCGCTTTATTATCATCTACAATTATACCTTTCGTTTCTCTAGCTCAGTGTTTCCCAAAGTACAAAGTACGCGTACCCCCAGGGGTACAAGAACAGTTTAGCGGGGTTACGCGTTCTTATGCGAAATATCTTGCAACAAACAAAAATTTCAAATTTTTTTTTATTTAAAAACAAAGCTAGCCATAAAAATTTACGCTTACGTATTTTTCTATCGGCTATTTTTTGCTGAGTTAACAGTTAATAGTTAGAGGTGTCAATAGCCAGTTGTGATTTTTAACTTTTGTGCAATTTTTTATAGTAAAAAATCCATTCACTTTTGTATTAGTGGTACACAGGGTTACGAAGAATTTAGAAAGGGTACACAAAAGTCATAAGTTAGGGAAACACTGCTCTAGCTGATTAAATATATTTTAAATTTAAAAACTGCTGTCTTCCCAGCAAAATGTCTCAAAAAAGACAAACTATTTACTCAAAAGAGAGAAATATCATCAAATTTATGAAATATTTAATGTTGAAAAAATGCACATAAAGATTGCGAAATAAATATTTTTGTCATATGATCACCAAATAGCAACCGTGTTCAGGATTGTTCACATCCTTCTCCCAAAAATAGCGAAATGGTATCGTCGGATACCAAGTGATGAAGGCGGAGCCAAGTGCCATCTCCAGGTGAACGAACTAAAAATAAACAGTCATTGAAAACCAGATGAATCATTTAGACTTACCCTATATCCATTAAAAATCATTTTTCGATTTTTAAAAAAAACATTTATTTAGTTTTATATCACATTTAACACTGTCTGTCTTCAGTGTAAAATATGATATGAAACTAAAACATTTACATTGTTTAAAACAAGTGCTGATAATTTATCAAAAATTAATTTTCATTTGTCACGAATCAAATTTTTGTTCATTTTAATGTTCGCATTGCTATACCACAATAGGAGCGAGCTGATCTAGCTTTAAAAAAAAATACGCTTGGCGTTCAACGTGTTATCAACTAAAATTCTAGTTTGTAATTATTCACAACTGTTATATCCACCCAACTATGAAAATAATACAAAATTTCAATAGGAAGAAAATATACATTATTAATATAATTAAAAATGTTTGTTAATTAATTCTATTTAAAAATTGAAAAGTTACTACATATGACCCGTACTGGTTCATAAAAATAATCACTTATTGGTTTTCATTTCGTCAAAAAGTTTCACCAAATTGGTGAATTTTTAAATGTTTTAAATATTAGTCCGGTTTTTAAGCAGAATCATATACTATAAAATATATTTTATATTTAGTATAAAATTAAAGCTTTCATTCAAGTTTGGAACTCAAACTCTGATTTCTTTATTATTATCATCATCTTTGGAGAAAAAAAAAGCTGAAAAAGAAAAATATAAACTGCTGAAAGTATATTGTTTTACAACAAACATCAGTACTGTTGTAAATTGTCAATTATAGATAAACGCTACAGTAAGTTTCAAATTTAAAAAAAATCTTCACGATATTAATGGTGCAAATTTAAATTTTCAAATTGCGTTCTATTTTTTAAATATAATTATGATAGCTGCGCTTACATAAATTGTTATTGTATGTTTTATTCTATTTTAATATATGTCTACAATAAGTAAAAATTTTTATATTACCTCACAAAAATTGCGTCATTAAAGTTTGCGCCCCCTATCAAACGATAAATAAATACACATTTATTTATAGTTTTCATAAATACAAAGAATTGTAATTTTTTCATGCACCTAATTTCAAGAAACGCATTTTGTAGTTACGTCATCATTAATGTTATTAAATTATGTTAAAAGCAAACAAATACAAAATTACTTATACCGACCTGAAAGCCACTGATGGGCAAACTCATCTTTTTTCTTTATTCGTGGCATGAAGTTTTGTACACAATTAATTACGTCCAATGCATTGCGTTAAAAGAATTGCAATTACACGATAACGTAAGAATTCAAATGAATTGCGCTATTATTTTCACATTTTAAGCTAAAATCTTTCAAGGTCTCTCTAACAAGGGAAACTAGGGAAGTGTGACTCGCCAATTTTGAAATAAACTAGTGGGATGTATGCCTTATGAGGAATAATTATAGGGGGCAACATTCGTTTCGGAGAGGGTCCTATTCATAGAGGGTCCTATGAGAGATAAAAAATAATTAAGTATGTAGAAAAATCGGTATTTCATTACTTCAATGCAGACTATTAGTTATTGTAATTATCTTATACTCCAATTAATTTTATGGTACTTTCACGTACTATATAATGCATATTTATTGTCAAAATTGATTTCGAAAATTTTATATATCTGTAGTTTTTCAGAAAAAGAAATAAAAAAATTGGCATTTTTAAAAAAAAAAAAATTGGCATCAAATTTTTTAAATTTTCTTTTTTCTAAAAATTTTCCAATATTAAAACTAGTAAACAGTAATAAATTTCATTTATATGAGAGTCGAAAATAATACGCATTTTCCCAAACTGATGGAATTTTTTCATATTTAATGTGTATCCAAAAATGTGATTTATAAAAAAAAATTTTTTTTTTTCATATTGTTAGATCTTACAGAAAAATATGAAATAATTTATGTGATTGCATAAAATTAAATTGCATTTATAAAAATGTTTTCAAATTTGTTTGGCGGGAAATTTGAACTTAAAAAAATATTTCAGTTTTCAATGATTTTCTTTTTTTCTTGAAAGGTCAACCGTACTATATAAACAAAATTTGTAAGTATTTGTCGCTTTAATAGACACATTTTTTTTTCTTAATTTTTTTATTGCACAACTGGTAAAAAAATGAAGAAAAAAAATAAGTTTCAAAAAAATTTTCATTTTTTGCCAAAAAATTAACATATTATTAAAAAAAATTGTCCTGTGAATTGTTCAATATTTTGTCAAAACATTGCTATTTTTGAAATATTATTCATACAATTATCTTTAAACCTGATATCCTAGCTAATGCCAACTTTTAAAGTTAAATATTTCAAAAATTAGCTAGGATATCAGATATAAAAATAATATTATAAAGATAGCAATGTTTTGACAAAATATTGAACAATTCACAGGACATAGATATCAACGGATTTTCCACTTAAAGTGGCATATCACTTCAAATTTTATGTATACAGTACAGTTGATCTTTTATGAAAAAAATTGAATTGAAATATTAAACATTTTTTAAGTTCAAATTTCCCGTCAAACAAATTTGAAAACATTTTTATAAATGCAATTTAATTTTATGCAATCACATAAATTATTTCAGATTTTTTTGCAAGATCTAACAATATGAAAAAAAAAATTTTTTTTTGTAAATCACATTTTTGGATGTTACATAAGTTATACTCACAAAAAATTCCATCAGTTTGGGAAAATGCGTATTACATTTCGACTCTCATATAAATGAAATTTATTACTGTTTGCTAGTTTTAAAATTGGAACATT